TTCATTTTTTGTGATCTTCATTTCAGTGTTTCTTCTCAGTGTCTTGATCAGCGACCAATCACAACACTGTCATTTGACTTTTTGAAGCTAATCTGAAGTCGTGTAAATTTCTAATTTCTTTCTTTATTTGTCAGCTGCAAACGTGGAATACTTACAACTGTTCATCTTACTGGCAGCTCTATCTGGTCTTAGGATGTGTAGCAAGTAAGTTTTTTCATATTATATATAAATTATTAAAGTATTTTGAACTCCTGTAATAATGTATTTTGTTTATAAAAGTCTCAACTATGGAATGTTCAACCCAGTTGAACCAACATTGGTTATGTTATATGTGGATTAATATTTAGTGTGTCTGCCAAGAGAGCAGTTTTTACTCCACGTACATATACAAATAATACATACAGGGGTTACGAACTCAACTAGTTCTGATGAACTATATCTGTAATCCCCACCAAAAAAAGGAAAGTACTCTCAGTAGAATTCGTTATTTATTTATATATAATTCTACCTTTTGTTTTGGGTGAAATAAATTTCATTCATTCATTCTTTCATTCTTTCATTCTTTCATTCATTCATTCATTCATTCTGCCTCTTGCTAGGCTTTTAGTTGGAAGAATGGCTTCCAGTTTACATGTGAAGATGACTGGAGTTTACCTTCATTCAAGATCAGTAAATGGGTTTGGTCCTTTGATTTACGTAATAAATGAATCTAAAAATCAGCAAACATAAAAAATCAACAACAAAATAATGCCAGCAGACAGAATAAATCTAAAAAATTAATATCAGTAGACAGAACATTAAATTAATTTTACAGTAAATTTATAAAAAAAGGTGAAAGTGATAAATTTACATCTTCCACTCTTGTGGTTTCATTTCTGGTCATCTCTCTTTCAACAAACCCATGCAGTCTAATCTAATTTATAAATATGTATGTTGGAGATTGTATCTGATAGGATGTGTTAACAAAGTTATTGACCAGTACCAGTAATACAATGTATTCATTCTTACAAATATTATAATTACAAATATGGCGATCTTTTTTAGCAGTTTGCGATGATAACAATCACTGTTGTATGTATTAGTCACTGTTTAGACGCTGTCCGAAAACAGGAACTTTTGGATGTACCCCTCTGCATGACACTCAGAAATTGTCACGTGTGAGACGGCCCCCGCATGTGCAGCTTTAATGGGTCAGTTGTCTCTTGAAAACCGCTACTCTTTGCATCAGAAAACAGTACTTAGGCCGACAGCTTTATGTTCTATTCGGAAAGCCAAGCCATGTGTAAATTGGAAATCTGTCTAAACTGAACCATGTATAAATTGGAAACCTGTCTAAACCAAACCATGTGTAAATTGGAAACCTGTCTAAACCAAACCATGTGTAAATTGGAAATCTGTCTAAACTGAACCATGTGTAAATTGGAAACCTGTCTAAACTGAACCATGTGTAAATTGGAAACCTGTCTAAACCAAACCATGTATAAATTGGAAACCTGTCTAAACCAAACCATGTGTAAATTGGAAACCTGTCTAAACTGAACCATGTGTAAACTGGAAACCTGTCTAAACTGAACCATGTGTAAATTGGAAACCTGTCTAAACTGAACCATGTGTAAATTGGAAACCTGTCTAAACCAAACCATGTGTAAATTGGAAACCTGTCTAAACCAAACCATGTGTAAATTGGAAACCTGTCTAAACCAAACCATGTGTAAATTGGAAAACTGTCTAAACCAAACCATGTGTAAATTGGAAATCTGTCTAAACTGAATCATGTGTAAACTGGAAACCTGTCTAAACCAAACCATGTGTAAATTGGAAACCTGTCTAAACCAAACCATGTGTAAATTGGAAATCTGTCTAAACTGAACCATTTGTAAATTGGAAACCTGTCTAAACCAAACCATGTGTAAATTGGAAATATGTCTAAACTGAACCATGTGTAAATTGGAAACCTGTCTAAACTGAACCATGTGTAAATTGGAAATCTGTCTAAACTGAACCATGTGTAAATTGGAAACCTGTCCAAAATAAAACCATTGTGTAAATTGGAAACCTGTCTAAACCAAACCATGTGTAAATTGGAAACCTGTATAA